TTCAAGCCTTTCAGCATCCTGTATGTAGCACCCTGCTCTGCCCATAAAAAATAAGGCAAACCTGGGATCCGTAACTTACTGCCTTATTCTAACTTTGGGATGACAGAAGAGACATTTTGAGAAAATATTCGGTGAAAACTTTGCTCACTGGAGTCAGTATGAATTTTTTCCTGGGTTTCAGTCTGTCAGTATTTAATGTCAGTACTGGGCATTGATACTGACTTGAATAATTAATGGCTTTCAGATTTATTTGTATTTGGCTAAGTCACAGGGACAGCAGAGTCATCTCAGAATTCTTATTAATCTTGTAACAGTCACATATTTTTCTTTAATTAAGTTTAATTATCTTTATACACTGGCAAGCACAGGGAAATGTGATGAAAGCAAGCTGTTCTATTAATATAACACTGGATTGCTTCCTCTACTAGGCAATTTTAATAGCCAGCAGTACAATAGTGGTCACAGAACGACATTTCGGACAGAGGCAGTGGAAGAACTATCTTTTCCAAAACATCATTATACATCTGAGCAGAAAAGAATTATTCCTGTTACTTCGAGAAAATTCTATCAGAAAGATAAATGAAGCTTTATTTTGAAGTCTTATTCTAGTAGGTTAAATACATTGTGGTAGTTCTCTAAAGGAAATAGTCTTCGGCTCAGTTTTGCCACCAGTTTTCTAAGCTTTCCCCCAAATCTTCCAAATACCTCTGTTCTTATTTCTACTGCTCTCCCTGCTTCTTGTACCTCGAAGCAATACATCATTTCATTGTATTTTGTTCAGCTCTTTTTAACTCTTTCTAATAAGGAAAAGGATAATACTTCCCTAGAACAAAGGTAAAAGCAAGAATGATCTGGTATACACTGCCATTAAAATACTCTGAGAAATGTGCTGGGTGAAAACTAGCATAGCTATCTGCAGTGTTCTCCCTCTGCTTCTTGATCAGTTCATCACCAACAACCTTCATACAGCTCTGTAAGACAAGATACCTTCTATCAAGTAGAAAATTACACCCCGTCTTCCTAAATTTTACTGCTGGCATACTTCCAGTCAGCAGCAGCAGCAAAGTACGTTATCCAGCTCACCAAATATGCTGCATAAAAATCTGTTTTCTTTCTGGAAAGACTGATCTTAGTAATGTGCTATCAAATATTTTTGTACTATTTTCAGGAGTCCAAAGAATCTCTAGGGTTTGTTACTTTAGGTATCTGTCTATTTCTGAGACAAGCTTATGTCCTTTCTCCAGTGTTTTAAAACAGGAAGTGAGCTTCCTTATTCTTCACTCTCTGCTGAAGCTTTTCATTGCAGAAATAAAACAGAAGTGGGTGGAAGAACTTTACCTCTAGCCACAGAATTCCTTAAAACAGCTTTGAGAGTTGTTATGTTTAACATTGGGATGAAGGGGGAAGTGACTAGCAGACATTAAGATTTTAAGGCACTTCCTCATGCTGGTTTTCATTTATGCCGTTTCAAAATCTTAATTACCTCTTCTATGTAACAGGCAATTTTATTAGAAGAAGTGGCAGACATCTGCTGAATGAAAGCAGAAACCAATGCAAATTGTGTCCTTCACTGGCCCTTACTCCACTACAAAAGGAACCTACTTCAGCACAATACAAGTAGGATTTTTTTTTTCCTAAACAGGGGCATATGGCTATAAAAGGGATTAGAAGAAAGTTAATAAGTAAGTGCCTTCATAAACTTTGGACTACTAATTCAGTTGTTCATTGGCTGGGTTTGACTTTGAATACAAATGATAAGTTTCTTTATTTTTCAAAGATCATAGAACCACAGAATGGTTTGGGTTGTAAGGGCCCACAAAGATCACCTGGTTCCAACACACTTGACAGGGGAAGGAACACTTACCACTCCAGTGGGTTGCTCAGAGCCCCATCCAGTCTGGCTCTGAACACTTCCAGGGACACAGCTTTCACAGCTATTCCAGGCAACCTGTTCCAGTCCCTCATCCCTCTCACACTGAAGAGTTTCTTTACATCCTACTTTGACATAAATCTTTGGCAGACTGAGAGCCTGATGACTAGCACCATCAGATGCCTTCCAGAAATTGTACTGCAATAATCAGGAAAGTCTTAGCTTCTTCTCTTACGTGATGACACCAGGGTTTCTTCACTAACCTCCCAAAGGCTGGCAGCTCAGCTGCATCACATTGTTTTAAACTTTGTTGGCCATGAAGGGCAGTTAATTTCAGACTAAAAAGTCAAAAGCTGCATACTGAGCTATGTTTTAAGAAGGAACTTCTGTGTTTAAAACCGTCAATTAAACATATTAAGAAAGCATTTCCAATCACACGCTTCTACCATGTCAGTTGCTAGTTTTTCAGCTGTTTATGTATCACCTACAAATAATGACTCCTGTATGTGTTTCATCATAGTATTTTTCATGTGTTTGCTTTGGTTTCAAAGGAATCAAGGCCTCTGTGATCTTGCTGTGGGCATGCACAGGGAGGCTTATGTCTGTTCTCTTAAGAAGTCTGAAGTCTTTATCTAACTGACTGAAGATACGGGCTTATTGCCAGTTTATCAACTACCAAGCAGAGGGGAAACTGAGGGGAAAACCACACCAGAAAAGCAATCTCTATTACATACAAAATCCATGTATTTCCATATATGGAAGAGGATTAATTATTTTTAATATTATCAATGCTGGAAGAAACATCTATTAAAGTTTACAACTTACCAAGAAAAATATCTACCAGGAAAACTTAAACCAAAGCGAAGTAGATTTTACTGGTTTCATGCTCTCACAATTAATTGTTAATGTGGAAGCTGAAGAAGTTCCTTACCTTGTTTCTCTACAGTATCAAGTAGTGTAAAGGACAGAAATAAACCACTGCTACTGACTAAAAAGGCATTTGGTATTAAATAACTTCTAAGTGAGATAAGAAAAAAGACTAAACTGGAAGCTATAGTATATAAGCTATAATATATAATATGTATATATTCCATATATATATATATATATATATATATATATATATATATATAAAAGAAACTATAGTGATATATAATATATATATATTCCATACCAAGAATTATTTTATCTTTTTCTTGCAGGATGCACCATATTCCATCATCTGTTTAAATTTCTACTGAAAACACAAGAACATTAAAATTCATCCAATTCTGGATTTTAATGTGGGAATTAGTCTAAGCAAATACACTAAGTTCTAAGAATAATGAATGTACTGCATGCAAAACTCCAATGTGAACTATTGTGGAGTAGTACCTCAGGATTTGCCGAAGTTCCTAAAAAACAGCTCTTCTCAAAGTGGATCTGAAAATTTATAGTAATAAGATGTTAAACCCCCCCCATAAATCCACAGCCATATTTTTTCTAGTATCAGTCTAAGTTCAAAAATCAGATTTTTTTTCCTGAGGTGTCTAACTAAGAATCCTACTGCACTGAAGTTATCTCAAGTCCAAAATGTGCTGGTTCATTTAAAATTTATTCTAAATCAGACACCTAGAGTTTTCTTTTCCTCTCTAAAAACATCATGGGGATGTAACTATGACAAGTCAAACCACTAGGATGTTGCCTGCATGTAATTAATCAGTGTGACTTAGACTGGGTCAGCATATGCCAGTTTTCAATTTAAAATGCTTTAGGAAATAACAGACGATTTCTTCATGTCAGATTTGCAAGCCTGCAACTAGCCAGCACCCCTGAACAACTCTTCTGTTTCCTGTGCCATTCAATACTGATCGTGAGCAGAACTGATAAGCATTTCATGATCCTAAATTTTTTTTACTAGAAATGCATCGTTTGTCAAAAAAGCATCTTTATTAATTGAAATTAGTTGTTTTTAATGAACTCCCAGTGAAACCCTGCAGAGGTAACACCAGAAAATGTCTTCCAGGGTTAACGAATAAAGCACCTCCAAGTCAAAGGACATCTAGCTTTCCTAGATTTGCTGATCCTAAGCCACCCTTCCACACAACAACACGGATGCAAAACAGCTGCTTGGAAATTTTCTTTGTTTGGGCTTCTCCCAGATTTCTCTTCTATAGGAAATTTCTACTTTTCCTTCTGGAATGGAATTTAGAAGCTTAGAGGATTGGGTGCAACAGAAATGCTATGCCAACCCACCATTGTTTTGCTAGTTTCAAGGTCAAGCACTCAGTATTTGGTTTACTTCAGACTCTACAGATCTGATGAGTGCTCGTCTTCTGGTAACACTTCTGAAAATTTTTCTCTCTCCTGATGGCAATCTGATGTTTGCAAAGGAGGAGAGGTCAACAACAGGAGCATCCTCTCCAATGCACTACAGTAAATGGAGTCAGGAGGGCCACCCCTCACTATATCTGATAACACAGCAGGGAGTTGCTTGGCAGCAGGAATACTACCAGCTACCAGAGACTGCATGTCCACCCAAAGCCAGGTCCACATGTACTCACTTGATCTGCTTCAATTGCCAGTTCAATTCAAACAGTCATAAATGCTCCTCTGACCTGATCAGAGCTTGAAAATAATCACAAAGACCACAACTTTCCTTCATGCTTTTCTTTCCTGTATAAGCAGCACATTTTTCTCACTCTGGGCCTTGACTCCTTACTTTCTTCCTTCTCAGCAGTTTTGCTTTGGGCTGAGACAGTACTTCACTTCAATCCCTCCATGATCACATCATGTACTGGTAATATCATCAGTACCTGCCTTGGGCCTGTATTCCCTGGCCAGGTCTCTTTCAGATTTAAAGGTAGGTAATACAATCAGTGGGACTTCACAGAAGGAAGATAGATTTACTCTTGCAAGAAAGTGACCTTCAAATCAATTGCAAAACAACCCTAATTTGGCTCATATCAGGCAACGAAGAACCAAGGATCTGTTTACAGAAAGGGGGAAATACATTGATAGTTAAATAATGTAAATACATTGCATACTTCAGACTTGAAAGTCTTGCCATCTATTCATAATGGCATACATCTCAGTAACATAGTTAACAAATGAACAGAAGACTTTTGAAAGAAAATGGGTTTTTACTCACCCTGATTTTTGATTCAATTCTCTATCACTGCTGAGAAGAACCATTTCCTCCTTCATTTCTTGTTCTGTTGCTACATTATTCCCAAGCCTCTGCTGAGAATTTGCTTCCCGTGTACTATCATCACCAACTACCTGCAACTCTGATGCTCCTGCAATGCCCAGACTCACATTCTCAGCAGTCAGTCCATCTGAAGGAGAACAGCTTTCACGTTCAAAAGATTTCTCAAGGGGAGTTTCTACCTGAAATCCTGTCCAAGTGTCAAGAAACAATTCCTGTGCTACAGCAGATGCCAGCTCTTCAGCAGCATGTCCAGACTCTGATTTTGGCATCTCTGTCTTGCAAGAAATTTCTTCAGGTAATATGTCACTTACTTCATTTTGGCCCAATATAATCCAACCCTCATCTTGCCCACAGCTTTCCTGTGATTTCCTTTCACCATTCGGCATCTGAGGCACAGCAGAAGAGTTTTTCTCTTCTAAGTGAACAGCATCCCATCCAGTCCCACAACCAAAGTGATCTTTGCTTTCATCTGAAATGGGGATTGGCGGAAAGGTATCCAAGGAGCCTGGTGAAAAGCCTGCATGGGATTCTTGAAATGCAAAATTAATTTTGCTTCTTTCAAGGGTATCATTTGTTGCAGGTGTATTTTCTTCCTCAGTCACAAGGATGTAATCTACCTTCAGTGACGCTGGGAACACCTGCATCCTCGCATCTTTCTCACTCTCTGTACCTTCCAGATCAGGGCACATAGGGGAACTTCTCAGCTTTTCCTCCTGACAAAGTAGGGAGTCAGTGCCAGCTGCTAAAAGAACAGGCAAATAGAAACTCTTTTGAATTTTTGAATTACTGATTTAGTCACCATAACATGCTTCAATCAGTGCTGTGAGATAAAGCTCTTTTCAGTTTGCTTTTCTCTGTTAATGTGTACTTGAATTTTATAACATCATCATCATTATTGTTAAAGGTTATACATTAACATGGCAATCGTCCCCAAGGCACAAACAATTCAGTGTCCCATAGGTTAGGCCCTGTACAAACAACAGAAATTATATTCCTACTTCACTGTTTAAAAGCTTTAGATCTGTCTGAGAGAATGATACTAGAGCTCTTTCCACAATACATGTTCTGTACATTAGGGAGATACACAAACTTCACACTTCACTCAAAGCCTCCTCCGCATTAAGCAGAAATACGCCAGACACTTCCTCCTTCCTCCATCCTATATATTTGCCCTGCAAAGCAAATTTTCTTACCATCACATGATCTTCTATCTCCACCTGGTGGTGAGTCCGGATCGGTTGTTTCTGCTTCAGATTTTCCTGTCAAAAAAACAGAATCTAGTGGAGTTACTTCAGACATGGAGAGCAAAGGTACTGAGGTGAGATTTTCCTCAAGGCACTCTGTGGATGTTTCAGACACCTTATCTTCGGTCATTAGGATGCCCTCCACACCTTCCGGAGGGGCTGGCAGTGGCAATCGTTTTTCCAAAGTAATGCTGTCATAAAATGGCTGCTGTAACAAGAGCTCACCTTTTGCATACTCTCTGCTGCCAGAGGGTTCAGCATAAAAAGATGCAGAGGATGGTGGAGTACACACTGCTGGTGATTGGTCATTGGGTATTTCCTTAAACACAGGAACATAATTTTCCATTACAGCTTCATATTCTTTTGTTGTGTCATCAAACAGTTGATTATTTGAATCAGATTCATCACATTTATTACCACCAGGTAGGAAGGGTTTGGGAAACGGTGTCTGTTCCTCCTCTGATTTCCTTTCTGCTGCCTCACTACTTTCATTGCCTAGCAGTGTCAGTATGTTCATTGCATCACACGTGCCTTCCGGGACATGAGTCACTGAGGTGTTGCTGATACTATGTTCTATCCCTGTGTCAGATCGGTCCACACATTCTTCTGACCTATCTGGCTCAACACCAGTTACTGCTGTATGGTCAGTATGAGAATATTTTACAAATTCACCCAAGGCACTAATTTCTTTTAAGCCTTGTTCTTCCCTATCAGGTTCATTGAAATCCATGGGAAGCAAATGCATTTGAGAGGTTGCTATTTGAGCTGCATCAGTTGGTGCTCCTTGGTGGTGTGCATGAGTGAAACTTTCATGGAACATGGCTTTCAGATCTAAGGATGTCACTTTTATAACTTCACTGGCAATTTCAGTTGACTCAACAGGGTCAAAAACCAGCTTATTTTCTAGACTGTATTCTTCCGGAACTGCAGATTCAGGAGGCTCCTGAGGACTAGAAGAGATAAGCTGATAGAATTCTTTGGTCATTACTGGTTCATAGTCCTGGGGGCCACTGTTTTCAGAGTGCATCTCCACCTTCTGCATTACTAGCTTACACTTTGAATCAAAATCTGCCTCTTTATTCGTATTTGATTTTGTATGAATTGGCTGACTGTCTTTGTCTTCAGGCTCCACTGCAAGTATCTGAGAATATGGGACAGAGGCATGCTTAGCTCCATACTCCTGGCACACATCAGGACTGCTTGATGACTCTGAACCATTGTCTTGGTCACAGTGACTTAAAATATCAGGATTTTCACCATCTGATTTCAAAGTGACAGTCTGCTCAGCATTAGTCCACAGGTCAGGTTCCACTGAAAACTGCTGATTACTTCCTTGTGTGTTATCCTGTAAAATATCTGGGATAAGTGCAGTTTGGGGAACTAATATGCTCCACTCTGGACTTGACTTTTCTGCCATTTCAAAAGATAAGTCTTCTACAGTGAAAGCACCTTGCATGGAGTTGTGCAGTTCTACTCTTTCACAGGTGCTCTCCTGTTCTCCTTGAGGAGTGAGATTTCCATTTCCCTCACTGTCTTTTGGTAGATCCAGTACAGTGCTTGCTTCAACTGCTGCATTTGGTACAGGTTGTTCCTCACCTGAAAAAGAGTTCTGTGGAGTCAGTTGATTTTCTTCATCTGTAGAAAACAACTGCTCTATCAGCTCCCTTTCCTCTTTATCCAGTATGAAAGAATCAAGCTGTTTGAATTGTAAAGCGTCTTCATTTATCTGACCATTAGGACTATTGATAGAATGTACTAGTCTTATATTTTCTTTTTCATCAGAGTAGAGTGGGGCAGGTGGATTTTCATCATTACCTGTGTCAGTGAAATGTGCTTCTGTTAGTTCTTCATCTTGTGAAGGAGAACCACAGGAGTCCTCTTTACTGTCTCCTAACTGATTTGTTACAGAGTGACCTGAAACAGAATACTGATCTTCCAACTGCTTTTCGTCAGAAGTTTGTGAACTCCACCATTCTGAACTGTTATCTAGAAAATCAGATGTTCCTACTGTGGATTTTGGATTAGCTCTTGATTCAGCTTCCAGTGACATACTCCATGGATCAACAGTTTTTGAAGAATTCTCTTCTTTATCACCAGCAGCAGAAGTCAATGCAGGATCTTCATTCATTTGATACAAATATGAATCTTCTCCACCATCTGTTTTTTCATTGAAAATACTCACCTGAGTTCTTTCATCAAGTGTTTTAAAGTGGCCTGTAGCAGATTGAGTAGTCTTATTATGATCAATAAAGTCAATAGTCACATCCTCCTGCAATACCCTTCTGGCTTCAATTGTTTCAGAATTTTCACTGAAGATGCTTACCATAACCCTCTCTCCTCCCACCTTAGTTATTGCACCTAAATTGTCTTCATCAGCTTCAGGACTTGGTGCATTGGATTGAACATAATCCTCTCCATTTTCAGCTCCTTTGTGCTGTTTCTTTTCACACACTGAATCTTCATTAATCACTTCAGGACATGCTTCTGAATTCTCTGAATCCTCATTTAAGTCAGGACTTGATAAAGAAGATACAGTGTCGTCATCTACATGGGCATTCCAAAAATCTAAGCTTTTAGGAACTTTGTTCTCTTCACCGCTTGTTTCAAATCCTTCTTCGTATTCATTCCCAATTTCCTGCTTTTTAAAAGAATCTTCAAGATTTTTATTATTTTTTATCTCCCACATATCCCTGCTTCTTCCATGATGACTAGCAACTGGAAGGTCTCCCCAGACATTCACAGATGCATCACTTAAGTCAGGACTTGTTCCACTTGAGTGTGTATAATCATTTATTGAATTACTCCACACATTATCTTCTTCCAAATAGCTTTTGATCTGTATATCTTTTGAAAGGCTGCTTGTGGTATTTGCTATTTCAAGGACTTCGTTTGCCTCAGGACTTGTTCCAGGAGATTCCATATCTTCACATGGCTGTGAATCCCAAGCAGTTTGCGGAAAACTGTCATTAAGCACTGCAAATGGCTCTCCACAAAGATTATTAGCAGGTTCTAAACTTTCAGGGTTTTCATTTCTCCCAGAACCTATTTCAAATGAAAATGAATTTTCTACCACAGACATATGTGTAATATCAGGAACACTAACAAATCCAGAAGGATTTTTCTTAAACTCATCCGTGAAAGAATTTTCATTGGTCCTCATCAGTTCTGAGCTATTTTTAAAAGATGCTAACTCAGAGTTACAAATGTCTGGATGGTTAGGAGTGACTTCATGTAAGCATTCTTGCCCTTCTCCCAGAGGTTCTTGTTGTTTATCCATCAAAGGAATTGATGTTGCCTGGCCATAACCATTCTTTCCAGAGTCATTCCAGATGCCTGAGCTTCCAGGCATTTTAGAAGAATTATTTTCAAGATTATCACTACCCTTATCAGAACTTTCAAAAATACTTTCCGTCTTAGGACTTGTTGCATCCTCTGTCACTGTAGCCTCTTCATCAGCTCCCTGAGAAAGCAGCTGTGACATTTCACTATAATTGTAATTTTGTTGTAAGGGGTCATCAAAAAATTTATAATCTCTGCCTCTTTCAGAAATACTTGGTGATTCTAAACTATCCTGCAAAATGCCTTTTCCCTCTTCCTGAATAACTGGATTGCTCTGATTGGAAAGTGACACATTCTCTGTGACTAATACTTCCAAACTAACAGTATTTCTCTTTTTTTCTGGGGAGGAGGCAATTTCAGTTGTCTCGTTTTCTTCCAAATCTGTTTTATCTGAAGATTCATTGCCCTCTTGTACTGGTTTATTACAAATGTCATTAATCATCTGCTGTCCACTTGTCACATGTGTTCTCTTACATTCTCTTCCTTCCTTAGAGATGACAGTGTCATTATCCCAGCCTTCCCCATGACCCTGCTCACTCTGTGAACTCCATGAATTCTGCTGGTGCACTGAATCCTGACTATCCAGCTCTTCATCAGTATCAGCAGTGTTTTGTGCTGCATTCTTACTAAGTATCTCACTCCCTAAGCCACTTATTTTCAGTTCCAAACCATTCTTATTTTCTGAAGTTGGCATAGAGGTGTTTGTGTCTTCTACAGGAACACTGCCCACTGTTTCTGCATCGTCATCTCCTCTCTGTCTCGTATTTAATTCATTCTGTGATGGTGATAAGTCATTCACTGTTTGATTATATGCCAGTATTACGCTTCTGCTTTCAGATTCAGGAAAGTTATTTTCACTGGTACATATTTCAGTTGAAAAACACAGATCAGATGTTTGTTCTGAATTAAGACAAGGTTTAGCAGAGGCAGAAGAAACTGGAATTCCAGAATTTCTTTCTTGTAACTGGGTGATGTTATTTAGGGGAGCATCCCAGATATCTGTATTTCTAGTATTTGAAAAAGGCACATTGTTAGGAGATAATGGGTCCTTGCTTGATTTCTTAGATACTTCTGACTCAGCCAAATTTGTCTTCATGAATTGACCAGTCTCATCATCAAAATCCTTGTCCTCATTTTCTCTGTCATCTTCCACATATGTAGGTGATAAGTATGAATCAGAGGTTGAATAATTGGTGTCTGGTGGAGAAACAACTAAATCTTCTGCTATATTTGAGGAACTAAGGTCCGAGTTTTTGTATAAGAAGGTATCCTCCCATGGCACCACTACTTCTGTTACTTCTTTTCTGACGTTTTTATCATACATATTCCAGGTATCTATATTTTCAAATTCTTTTGGTCTGTGTTTAGGATCACAAAACACAGTTTTTTCCCCCGTGTTCAGCTTGGAGTTATTTTGCATATTGTTGAAAACAAAATTTGTATTTTTAGATTTTTCACAGTCTTCTATTGAATAGTATCTTCCTTTATCCCACACTTCTGGATTTTCAGTCTCATTGTCCACTGTGATTTCTGAAGAATCTGATAAACCAGTTTTTGATATGGCCCATTCCTCAGGAATATTTACTGATTTTAGTTCTCTATCTAGTTTGGGCATATTCCATACATTTTCTGAGGATCTACCAGCATTTCCTTCATCAAACTCGGTCCAGATTTTGTAAGAGTCTCCAGCTAACTGGCTACCTTTCTCTTCACCATGACACCATGCATCTGATATCATAGGTGTCGGCTGGCTGACCCTCCACAGGTCTGTAAAGCTCTCCACTTCTTGCTTTGTCTCATCTAAAGAAGCAGGTTGTAAACATGAATGTTCACTGTTTTTCTCTTGATTCTCATGGTTCCAATTATCTTGTTTAAACTCATTATCCCAAAGACCTGCTTTCATATATTCCATTTGCTTTGGCTGTTTTTGGAGGAACACAGAATCTGAGGCTCTTCTATCATTATGTTCTCGTAACAAGGGACTTTCTTTGGAATCTTTCCATAAAACAGGACTCTGAAAAACAGATTCCTGTTCGCTTGAGCTCCATGCATCAGCATTTCTGGAATCTAGGTCAAAGCCATCCCACCAGCTCCCATATCTAATACGAGACTGAGAGTAATTTGTGCCATCTATTTCATTAATTCTTTTTATGACATCTTGTGAGAAAATTAAAGGCTGCTCATTATCTAGTGGTGAGGTATCTACAAGACTATTCATAGGAGTTGGTGGAATTCTTGAATCAGCAGATTTCAACATTTCTGGTGAAGAAGAATCACCTTCAACTGAATCAATCAAACTTGAAGTTTTCTCACACATTTCTCCTGGATTCTCATCCAATTCAGCCAGATTGTCTTCCTCAATTTTAGTCGTAAGTAAGTCAGTTGAATACTTTACTGTATCATTTTCTAATAGGCTTGCCTTGTCAAGTTTTTTCTTCAGAGTGAGTTGATGCCCTTCTGATGAATCATTATTGAGAAAATACTCATCTGCTGGGGAACAATCAACAGAACGAGAAGATGACTCAGATGGAGCTGTAACCATGGGTGCTAGATCAAAATTGAAAAGATCGAAGTTATCACTATTGTTTTCTGACTGAGATTTTTGTTCTTCAGCTATTGCTCCTTCAGGAATAGGGCTGTAGGAATCAAAGCCAGGCAGAAGACTGTGATGAGAAGCAGCACCTTCTGCAACAGGGCTATCATCACTAAGGAAAACAGAACTCTCCTTGGAAGATCGGCTGCTTCTAATGGTAGCCAAGCCACTGTCTGGACTCACAAGGTCTACATTAACATCAACCGGGGCTTGCATAGACCCATTTAGCTCTTGAGGATTGTCTATAAAATTGGCAGAACTGGGCTGTGGTTCTACATCAGAACCATATAACTCCACAATACCAGAAGATCCTTGTGAAAGTGGAGCACTTCCAGCAACAGCTTCAGTAGAGGAAGTTCTACTATTTGATACCATTTCTGGTTGCCTTCTATTTATAACTTCCTTAATTAGAAGAAAAATTTGATCACAGGTCACCAAAGAATTTTCTTGTTGATAAATGAGAATTTGGTCACATTCACATTCTAGAGGATCCAGCTCTAAACAAGGATTCTGACATTCTTCTAATTCACAGCAGATCTGTTGAAAAATGGGATATTTCAGAAGTCGCTGCAGTCATGGACATAAGGCACATATTGACTACTTCATAATGTAATACAGCCATACCTATCTTTTTCTATTAACCTATTGCTTTGCCGTTTCACTGCAGCATCATTGCTGCATCCCCAATATGATCCCCAAACAGATGATGCATTACAACACAAGATCAAGAAGATCATATTTGTTGTATGATTGGTCAGAAATTATACCATTTGACTTTTATTATTTTATTTTTTATTCTATTTATTTCTATTTATTATTTATATTATATTTATTTATAATTATTATATTACTTTAATATTTTATTATTTTATTAATTTATATTATTATATTGTTAGTAATAGAAAATCCAAATAAATGTTGGGTTGTTTCCTTAAGAAATATGAGTAAAATGTATGTATTAGTACTTTCGGAATGTATTTCTATAACAAGATAATTGTATTAGTAAAATAAATAAATGCATTTATATTGACGTTGAAAACAATGCAGTTACTTATCCACCTGTCCCCAAAATCACAAGTTTTCAAGACTGAGAAAAAGGTTTAAAAAGCTGCCACTGAGATAAATATCATCTGGAATATTCCATCTGGAGATAAATATAGTTTAAAAAAAATGGCAAGCACCTAGCTCTGGACAAATGTACACGATAGTAATAATATGTTTTCTTTTCAGAGCTTGAATTCTTTAGGAATATACATACATATATGTACATAATGAGTTCTGGTCATTACCACTGACAAGGTGTTTGCCTATCACTCATTGCCAAAGATGCATTTGTGTAAATCACAAGACAAACCCAAGTCAAAACTAGTGAGAAAAAAAACCAAAACCAGCATTTTAACTGAATTGAAAAATCTTGCCTTTTTCAGTATTTCTCATAAACTTTTCAGTTTGATCTGAAGCAATAATAAATATCATAATCTTTCATTCTCTTACCATATAATAAATGCAGCCATTTCAAATAGCTGCTCAGTTGCTGGTCAACTGTTGCTATGTTTTGACCTCACTTAATGAATTGACATCTTGATACAGACTGCTTAAAAAAATCCCAACATTTTTTTTCCAGGAAAAACATCTGACTCTTTTTCCAGGTACTTACTTGATTACCTAGCTCTACATTTTCCGAGTATACTGCTATTTGTTGTTTTGTTTTCTTTTCATCTGACAAGCTGTTGGCCAAAATGACAAGTACATCAAACCCATATTTATCTATGAATGCTTTCAGATCACCAATGAGACTTCTGTGTAATATGCAGTCCTGAAAAACATTAAGAAATTAAAATAAATGTCAGCAACTTTTCTGGTTCTTTTCATCCAAATATGTCATAAAAATAGCTGTAAATGTTAAAAAGCTTCAGCAGATCTAACAAGCAAAATAATTTCATTTCACTTGTCAAAACAACTACGTGCCTAATAAAAATCAAGAACCAGTCCCATAGCACAGTAATGGAGGAACACTAAAATACTAAATGCAGGTTTTGCCTTTTTGAACCTGCTGGTGAAATTTAATTGTTACTTGTTCCAGCTACCTGCTTTTGCAACACTGCTTAAAAGCAGTCCAAGCTCTGGGCTAGTGTATCCCCATGATAAAGAAACTGGGTAGGAGTCGGGTAGGCTCCTGGGTAGGAAACTAAAGTAGGGTAGTTGCATGGATGAGCATGAAACTCCCAGTAAAACTCAAACGCAAGAATGAAATATATGTGATGCATATATTTCCACACAGAAGGACTCCAGGAACATTGAGTTACAGAGATACAACAAGGAAGGCCAAGGCCCACTTGGAACTGGGTCTGGCAAGGGATATCAAGGACAACAAGGAGGGCTTCTACAATTTTTTCAGCAGCAAAAGAAAGGGAAAATGCAGGGCTGCTGCTGAATCAAGTGAGTGTTCTGGTTATAGAAGACACAGAGAAGGTAAAATTACTGAAAGCCTTTTTTGCTCGTCTTCACTGCTGAAACCAGCCCTCATGAGTCCCAGACTTCAGAGGTAAGAGAGGAAGGCTGGAGAAAGAAAGGTTTCGCCTTGGCTGTCAAGGGTTGGTTTAGAAATCAGCTAAGCAAACATAACACCATAAATCCATGGGATCTGATGGGATACACCCACAGGTGCTGAGAGAGCTGGCAGTTGTTGCTCTGCTGCCCTCTCATCTTTGAAAAATAATGGAGACAGGGAAAAGTGCCTCATGATTCAAGAAAGGCCAGTGTCACTCCTGTCTTCAAAAATGGCAAGGAGACCTGGGAAACTACCAGCCAACCAGCCTCACCTCAGTTCCTGGAAAGGTGATGAAACAGATCATTCTGGAGATCATCAAAAAGCATATGGAAGTCAAGAAGGTCATAAGGAGTACTGGAGCAGTCAGGATGGATTTGCCAAAGGCAAATCAGGTAGGACCAATCTGAGATTTCTATGACAGCATGGTAGGACAAGGGGAGAGGAGTGGATGTTGTCTACCTGAGCTTCAGCAAGGGTTTTGATGTTGTCTCCCATAACATCCTCACAGGTAAGCTCAGGAAATGTGGGTTGGAGAGTGAGATGGATCAGGAAGTGGCTTAATGGCAGAGCTTCAGAGGGTCATGATCAGTGCAGCAGAGTCCAGCAGGAGGCCTGCAGTCAGTGGTATTCCCAAGGGATCAGTACTGGGACCAGTCTTACTCATCAGTGATCTGGAGGAAGGGAGGGATCAAGTGCACCCTCAGCAGGTTTGCTGGTGACACTAAACTGGGGGCAGTGGCTGATCCATTCTGCTGCCATTCCCTGGGACCTTGATCTGCTGGAGGGTTGGGCAGACAGAAACCTAATGAGGCTCAACAAGGGCAAGTGTCAGGTCCTGCTCCTGGGGAGGAACAGCCCCAAGTGCCAGCACAGGCTGGGGCTGACCTCCTGCAGAGCAGCTCTGGGGAGAAGGACCTGGGACTCCTGGTGGATCACAAGTTGTCCATGAGCCATCAGTGCCCCTGTGGCCAGGAGGGCCAGTGGTATCCTGGGCTGCAGAGTGTGGC